AGTAAATATAACTATAATAATAAAGATAGTAAATAAAATAATGATAAACATAATAATAATGAAAATGAATATCACAACGATAACCGTGATAGCAGTGAAATTGATGAAAATGATGATCACAATTTTCCTAATGATTATTAGTAACATTAATTGATGCAATTATTTAGTGACGCAAACGGGTCATCACTAATAATATCATTTAAATCATATGTGATATTCAGATTCTATGTATTATTTAGATTACATGTGATATTTAGATTATATAAGATATTTAGATCATATGTGATATTTAGATTATACATAATACTATAATCTAGGCTAAGTGGGATACCACATGTAATATGATTATATTACATGTGGTATTCCACTTATTTTATTATGAATTTTAATAAATTTATTATAATACTATTTTATTAAATTTTAAAAAATAAAAAGTATTAAAAATAGCTAATACTTGTAATAATTTTTATTTATTATACTTTATTGTATTTCATTTAATAAATTATTAAAATTACTAATAGTATTATTCTATAAAAAAATAAAAAATATCTTTAGAAATATTATTGATAATTAGAGATTAGAACTAGCAAAAATTCTTTAACTGATTAATAACTAGTTAAAGATTTGCTAATCAGTTAATTAATCAGTTAAAATTAACTTAGACTAATATTATAGATTTGACTAAAGTTAAACAACATTTTTGTAATTATAAAATTCTTAATTCTAACCAGAAATTGAATTTTGATTAGGATTAAATTCATCTATTTTAATCAGTTAAAAAAAAAATTTTAACATATTAACTATTTTAATTAGTTAATAAACTGATTAAAAATTAACAGATTTTAATCTTTGAAATAATTGTTAAAAATTATAAAATAAATATAAATAAATATCTATAAATATTTAAGTCATAATAATCCTTTTATGCTTTCAAAAAGTTATACACTTAGCAAATAAATATAATAATATTTTAGATTTTTAGATAATATAGAGTTAAGAATTTATAAATGTTATATAATTAAATAATAAAAACTTGAATTATTAATTATATTTTTTTAATATTAAATACTAACTTTACAAAATTTCTTTTTTTTTTCATAATAAAGAAGATAATTTGTTCTTGATTTTAATTTTAAATTATTTAAATTAAGATTAATTTTATATAACAATATTATAATAATTAATAACTAAGATTTAAAATTATTTTTTTAAACTTTTTTGTTTATTAATCTTATTTAATATTTTTTTTTAGATTTTATTTGTAATTTTTTTTTTATAATATTTTTCTTTAAATAGCTATTTAACCTTAATTTTTAAATTTTATAATAATATTATAATAATTAATAATCATTTTCAAACTTTTTGTTAATATTTTTTAATATTCTTCTTTAGATTTTATTTGTTAATCTTTTTTATAATATTTTCTTTAATTATTTATTTACTAATTCTTATCTGCAATATTTGTCTTTATATTTTTTATTTATCAGTTTTTTTTATTTATTAAAATGATATTATTTTTGTTTATTATACTTTTTGTATATACAAATTTTATAATCTTTGGATTGTAAAAAGTAAATTATTTAACAGATTATTAGATCAAATTATTTAATCTAAGAAAATTAGATTAGATCAAATAAAATTTGATTTAATTTTAAACTGATTTGATTCAATTTGACTGAATTGTTCTTGAATTATTTATTATAATTAAAAAATATATATTATCATTTAAGGAAATTATTTATTATCATTCTAGTTGAATTATTAGTTGATTTGAATTTTATTAAGTCATATTAGGTTGATAAAATAATAGGTTAACATAATTTGATCTGACTAAATTATTCTTTTTAAATGATTTACCATTTCTAATTGAATGATTCATTATCATTTAAAAAGACCCTAAATTTTATCAGATCAAATCAGATAATAAATCAACCTAACTTAAAAATCTATTGTTCTGTCTGAAATTTTTAGATCAGGTTACAACACAAAATTAAATGTAAAATTATTAGAATCACTTGTTTGAAATCTACTAGAAATTAACCAAAATAAACTGTAATGCGACGGGATACTAAATATAAAAATGATCGTAAGTGATCCTGACGAATGCAAATCGATTTATTATTACTATTAATATTTCTAATTTCAAAATTATTATAATATATTTAATATAAATATATTCTAACTAAAAACAATAGATTCAGTAAATTTGAAATTTTGAAAATGCGAATTTTAAACGCATATCATTATTAATGTTGCTAAAATGAGCTAATTTATTACTTTATTGTATCTGTAATCTAGGTATTGTCTCCTTCCGTTTCAGATGATTTATCGCAAGGTTTGATTTCAGTTGATTGTGATGGTGATGAGGTAGTGTTATTATTATCATCATCATTTTGATTCTGATTATTATATCTCGTCCAAGTTTTTTCTCTCTTAATTTTTTCTTCAGATTTAAAAGAGAAATACTGTATCACAAGTTTTAAGAATGCATGATATTAAATTTAAATTTAACTTAACTCCACCTAAAATACAAAAAAAAAAACTTTCACCTTTTCTCTGAATAAATAATGTCCAAGCTTTTTATTTCCTTTTTCATTGGTACTCTGTTTCTCTTTAATGACATCATCTTTTCTATGATAAACAAAGGAAAGATTATCTAATCCTTTTGCGTTAAGCACATTTGCATGTTCACCTATAATATTTTCCTTAAATTTTTCCATCGTAACCAATCTTCTTGCCCATTGTCCAAAATTCTGTTCACTATTTGATACGAGTTTCATTGATGGATGTTCAGGTAAATCTGAATTCGAATACCTATATTTCACATTAATTATAAAAATATTATTGTGCATTTACGCGTATGAAAATGAATTAATAAAGAAGAATACACACTCGTCTACCACTGTTGGTAACCAATAAACTAATCTTCCCCCAACAACTAAATATCTCGCAGCAAAATCTAAAAGATCAGATAATACTTCTGACATTTCATAAGGTTTTGTAGGTGGATAATAATCTTCCCTCCTAAAAAATTTATAATAAAATACACTTGGGTATATATTTTATTTATTTAAATTATATGTGTATTAATTCTCTTACTTGTGTGCTGGTATTCCATCAATTAATTTAGGAGTTAGTGGACGTTTAAATGGTTCTTTTCTTCCTAAAGTTTTTGCACCTGCCCGAACACCATACGGAGCTATTAACAAATTTAAGATTAAATTTTTCGTACATGATTATACTATGTACTCCATCAAAGAAGGTATATTTATGCTTACGGTCTGTTACGATCGCATCAAACCAAAGATTGTCACGAAATGGATGATGACATATGTCAAATACTAATGTATCCAAAACTTTTCCATTTAAATTATATTGTTCCACGTTAGACTTTATAGACCTATTAGCTGACCAAAAAACATTTATCCGAGATTAGATAATAATTTTTTAATGTTTACACAATTACTTAAAAAAATTTACTTTGTCCACGTATTTGTCTTCCATCTATATCAGATCCCATTGTGAAAGCCCCAAATTGTGCACAAGTTAGGAGAAAGCTGCCTGTACCCACAAACGGATCATAAATTAATTTTCCCGGCGCAGCCTTTAAAAGATTTTGTTTATTTCAAAATTTCATTATATAAAAATTTAGAGTGAATAAAAACAGAAGCTAAAGTGAACTTTACATACCAATGCTTGATTGGCCATAATTAATGATAATTCAGCATCCATAGATGTATTCCCTATATATCTACGCTTTTTCAAATTATAAGTTTGAATAAGATCACGGTTTCCTGACGCAATCTATTGTGTTCAAAATTCATTGAATTAATATGTTAAATAAAAATGGCATTAAATGACGAGAAATATACCGATCTTCCAAAATATATCATGTAAGGTTCAGGTGGAGGTCCAGGTAAATAAGGATCTAATCCATAATCTTCTAATACACCAAATTGTACTTCAGGGTTTTTTAAATCAATATCACCTTTAAATCCTAAATATGCAAAAGAATTGATTATTTTGACTTGATAATCTGACGAACACGTTGATCCAAAGGCTGATACTATAAATTTAAACGATTTATAATCATATGGTGGCTATCATTAAAGATTGAAAAATAAATATTAAAGATACATGTGAAATTGCAATAATTTAGATAGAAATAAATGGAACTTACCCATCTTTCGGGTTTTGATTTTACTTGAGTGTGAACTTCTTCATATGTTTTTCCCATTCCCCATAATTCATATATATTCCTAAACAAAATAAATATATTAATATGATAATACAATTCAAGGGTTTAAATAACGATTTGTATTAATTACCTTATTAGAATTGCTCTCTTGATAAGTCTAGTAGCTTCTTTTTCTGAATCAATTTCAACGACCAAGAAAGGACACTACAATTAAGTCAACTTAATTAATTAATTAATAATTAATAATATTAATCATTTGAAATTAATATGAAAATTTACATTTTTTCTATATTCTTCTTTATTATAAGATATCTTCACATTTTCGATCTTTGTTAAAGATTCAAGTTCAGGTAATCGAAATTCTTCATGAGCTAATTTAAAGAGAAAAGCAAAATGTAAAGAAATAATTAGAAAGGAATAGAAATTTATCATGAAAGGAAAGTTTACATACATTGAGCAAATTGAATAAAATATTTCATGGCTCAACTTTTGATGGTTATTTAACCAGGGGTGATGTTCTTTTATCACGGTCGCACGATTTATTTGTGTAACTTCTTAGAAGTATATAGATCATTATTCCATGATAATGTATTATAATGGTTACTTATAAATATGGGAATGGCCTCTTTATCCGTTCTTCCATCAAAATGCCTTGATTTATCTTCCTTATTCATAGGGAATGAATCTCTAACAATCCTTTGTGACCCATTCCATTGTAGAAATTGTAGAAATGCGCTACCCTTGTACAACCTTTTTTTTTTATTGTTCCTTTCAAAATTAGTAAAATTTGAATGATATCGAAGGTTAATTGATAAACTAGAGATGGATTCATAAATATCAATCTGTTCAATTATTCAAATCAAAGAGAAAAAGAGAAATTTGAATTTTAAAATGAATTAGTAAAAAATACCCTTTGATAAGGTTTGAGAAGTCCAATCAAAAAGCAGAATAGAGAAAATCTGTTTGTTAATTTTATTTATTAGATCTTCATTCGACGCGTAAATCTTTGGAACTTTAAAATACCATAGTGATGTACTTAAATAATATTTTCGATTGCGCGTTTTTTTTTGGCCATGCATAACATCACTCGCTTTTTTTTCACATGGTACATACTACGACAACTTTCACCAAAAAAAAAAAAAAATCAAATTAATCTTGTAATACAAACGGATTTACCGAATTTACCGAGATCGCAAAAAGTTTGATCACCGGACATTACCAACTGACCAAAGATATAAAAATACAAAAAACGTGAAAAATATTCTTTTTGACTTTATTTGTATAAATCAATTACATATCCATTTAAAGAATTCTCGAGGAATCTTATAAACAAGTTTTTAAAAAAATGGGGTAAACAAAACCAGATTAATTATGTGGCACAATCTTAACCAAAATAAATTTTTGTATAAAATGATGGACAAATTTCTTTAAAACAAATATTCAAGTTATTAAAATGTCATATCATAACGAAACTAACACTTATACTTCGCCAGACGGAACCACCACCACGACCACCACAACTACTTCTTCTTATTATAATAGTAGCAATGGCAATGGCGGTAGACCTCTTGGAGAAGATCTATTTTCTAGTGATTTCTTTAAGAATATTAAAGAGAGTGCTTTACCTACTCACGGTCAAATTAGAAGAGTACATTATAATATACAAAAGGCCCCAGAAAATTTACCAGATGACTTTAATTTATATGTTAAGCCCACCGAAAAAGTTGATTATCAGGTCTCGAATTGCACAGGACGTAAAAGAGCTGTTTTAATTGGAATCAATTATGTTAATACCCGATTTCAATTGGGAGGTAATTTATACATTTAAACCATTTGTCCTTTGAGCATATTTGATTTTTTTTAAATTTTTTTTTTTTGCTTTTCTCACAAAGGATGTTTCAATGACGTCAATAACATCAAGAGCTTTATAAAGCAAAACTATGGATATGACGAGTCAAATATGAAAGTGTTGACCGATAGTCCGGAAGGTCATTCGGATCCATCATTAATTCCAACAAGAGAAAATATTATTAAAGCTATTAAATGGCTTGTACGAGATCCAAAACCAAACGATTCGTAAGTGTTAAAGTAATTGACCCACGGTAAAAATCATAAATTAATTATTTATCATTTTTTTTGTAGATTCTTTTTCCATTTTAGTGGTCATGGAGGACAACTTGTAGATGAATCAGGAGAAGAAGAAGATGGATTTGATGAAACCATCATGCCCCTTGATTTTGAGAAAAATGGACAAATTATTGATGATGAATTACACACTTTGATGGTCGCACCACTTCCGGCAGGTAACCTTCGAGTTTTTTTTTTTTATTTTAAAAACTAATAATTTTATTGTAAATTAACATGTAAATTATATATATATATATTTATTTATTTATTTAGGAGTAAGATTGACCGTCATCTTTGACTGTTGTCATTCAGGAACATTGCTGGATTTGCCATATATCTATTCCACTCGTGGTGTCATCAAAGAAACAAATATCCTTTCCTTGGGAGGGAGGAACCTTTTGAGTGCAGGTCTCAATTTTTTTAATGGAAAGGGCGTTTTAGGTTCTTTAAAAGAACTAAAGTCTACCGCTACTAAGCATCAAAAACTTCGTTTTAAGAACATTGAAACAAAATCAAGTCCCGCCGATATAATCATGTTTAGTGGGTGTAAGGATACACAAACGTCTGCTGACGCTCAAGAAGCAGGTGAAGCAACCGGTGCCATGTCACATGCTTTGGTCAAATCGTAAGTGTATATTATCTCTCGTTATTATTATTGTTTGTCATTATTATTCAAATTGGTTTATCTTATTTTATAGATTGAAGAAGAATCCACATCCCACATATCAAGAATTGCTGAATTCAATTCGTGATGTTCTCAAAGCTAAATACGCTCAAAAACCCCAACTTAGCACGTAAGTTTCTTATTTCCTTTCCTTTTTTTTTTTAAACAAAAAAAAAAATTTTAATGTTATTTTTTGCTTTAGATCTCATCCAATGGACATGAATTCAAAATTTACCATGTAAAAATTAAATATTTATTTACGTATATATAATATAAATTATATATATCTTTATTATTTCTTATCTTATATGTATATTTTTTTTTTATTTTAAAATTTATATGTACTTTTTTTTATTTTTTTTTATTTTAAATTAAACTATTCATTATCCGATGAAAACAGTGAACTGATGGTGATTTTGCACCCAATCATTCGTTTCAACCACGTGATTTTATTAATAAATGCAATTTTCTTACGTCGTCAACTCGATAAAAAATTTTTTTTTTTGTCTGACAATGATACTTGGAATTGGAATTGATATTATCCATTTACCACGTATTAAAGATCTCTTAACGCGTAAACCGACGTCCCTATTACAATTTTCTAAAAGAATTTTATCAGATAGAGAGCTGAAAGAATTTAATGAAAGAGATGAGCTCGATAATAATGTTAAATTCCTGGCTGTTAGGTGTCCAATTATTTTTTTATTTTGATTTATTTATTTTTTTTTTTAAAACAAAAAAAAAAAAGACAAAGAAAAAAATTTATTATTATTATATTTTTTTTTTTTACATCGAATTTTTCATTAGATGGACTTTAAAAGAAGCGGCTTATAAAGCTTTATTTCCTTATCATCGTATGACGTGGAAGGATGTCTCTATAAATAAAATTGAAGGCAATTAAAACCTTAATTTTATTTTTAATCTTTCCATTTTCTGAAAGTTTGATGATAATTCTTACTAAATATCTAGGAAAACCACAATTAATTATACACGAACAAAAAAAAGAAATCAACATTAGTAACGTTCATTCTTCTGTGTCACATGATGGCGAATATGTCATCTCGCAAGTTTTAATTGAAGGTACAACAAATAAAAAGTTTTAAGCTGTTTTGTAAGACTCTTTGGAAATATCCCATTGGACCGAATTTCAATTAACCAATGATTAACATTATCTACAGTCAACCCACCCCCTACATAATCACAACCTCTTTTTAAGCACATTTTTTTAATATAAAATACCACTTTATAATCACATTTTAATTATAATCACCATCACACCAATTATTAGGCCGATTTATTAGTTAAAATAAGTAATTTCCCTTTATATAGTCCCATTATCGCGTGACAAATCGGTCAATAACATTCAATTATTATAATAAATCACGTAAAATAAGTAACTTTCATTAAAAAAATTTTTAAAAAATTTAAATTTTCACATAAAACTAAAAGGTGGTCAATGGTCCTACTCAAAAAAAAAAAGAGGACTATTAAAGTTGATCGGAGGTCTATTACATAATTACCTCTATACAATCACATCATTAGGGATCCCGAAGGGTGTGATTGTAGAGAGGGCGACTGTATATGATTATTATGCACATTGGATAAAATTTGATCAAATTCCCTCCCCAAACAATTTAAAAATTTACATAATTCTGAATTGATAAACAAACTAGCTCATCTCGGTGCAGGATTATTTTTATTTTTTCGAGAATTATGGTTACTACTAAAATTGCTACTGAACCTACTGACTTTAGAACTGCTTCCATAACACAACATTGGAACGACCCACCGCAAAAAGTACCTTTTTTTATTATTATTATTATTTTTATTTTATTTTTTTTTTGTTAACCGACCAAAGCAGACTTGATTTATAACATTTTAAAAAAAATTTATATAGATATTTCATAAAGTTGAAGATGATCATAAGCAACTAGATTCTTCTCAAATTTGTTTAATAATACAAAAAGCTCTAGAAATTTGTAAGGACAATGCAAAGGTAAAAATTTTCACCTTATCATTTGAATTTTGTGTAAATTAGAATCGGAAATAGTTTGGAGGACTAATTACAATTACAATTAAAAATTATTATTTATTTATTTATTACGTTTTGATAAGTAGAATTCTGATAAAAAGATTATTCTTGATACCGAAAAAAGACTAGAAATTTTATATGAAAAATTAGAAAGTAAACAATTATCTGAATCCGTACTTGGTAGATTAGGTAGATTATGTGAATGTAAGTGTAAGATCTTTCATGTGGTAATAATATTAAGTGTACAGTAATTAAGTATTATTATTATTATTATTTTTTTTTTTGTAGATTTGGAATTAAAGGATTTAAATAATTCTATTACAATTCATGGTAATTTAATGACTACAGATTTCGATAAAGAAGGGAAATGGTTATTAGGAATTAAGAGATTATTAGATTTATATCAAAAAACTTTAAAATAATAGATTTCTTTTTGAAATTTAATGACTACAGATTTCGATAAAGAAGGGAAATGGTTATTAGGAATTAAGAGATTATTAGATTTATATCAAAA